TTTTTTTTTTTTTTTTTGCTTTTAGCAAATTAAAATAACTGAATGATAATTATAGCAAGGAATCTGGGACACAGCACTCCAACTGGGTTTTATTTAATCGAAGTTTACAAGCAATTTAAATTCCTCATTAAGCACACAAAGAAAGGGCCCTGAGACAAGTAAGACAATCCGGTGGCGCATGAGAGACGAAGACTCAGTGGTGCGGGCTTTGTTCTTTCTGATTCTGCTGTGGCCCCAGAGGTCTCACTCTGAGTGAACTGTCACCAGGATCTCAGATGTGCCCCCTGAGAGCCTCGAGGCGGACTGGTCTGTTGGGGGGCAGGGCTGAGAGCTGACCTCAGCCCATCAGAGGGGCTTGGGAGTGGGCCCCACAGTGGGATTAGCCCTCGAGCTCCAGCACTGCCATGCTCTGATTTCAGAGGCGCAAAGAAACAGGAACGAGGAGGAAGGGTGGTGGGAATAAAAATCTGACCCACTGCAGACTCATAAGACAGCCTTCTGTGGTCCTGCTTCATGACCATTAAGATAGTCAGGTCTGCCACATACAACTGCAGAGACACCACGGACAAAGACGTGGAAGGGGTTTAAAGAAAACTGAGAAGAACAAGGGGCAGGTACAGTCCCTGGTTCAGACTGCATGATTTCAAAATGTGCCCGGGCTGCTGTGAAAATGGCTCCCAATGCTCATCACCTTAGCAAAGGCAAAACACTAGGAAGGAAGACTTGACCAAACTGGAAAAATGTATATTCCCCAGGAACACTCATCAGAGAAGAACAAGCAGCAAGAGACCGGATGAAACTCCACCAAAAACTGCACATGCCGAGGTCTGGGCAAAGGCCACACTTCTAAACAAACACCAGGACAAAACATTCGCTCTTTCCTCTCCACAAACAGAACACATGGGCGCCAATTACCTTCTGCGACGCACTGCCTGCCGTTGCCCGTGTAGCCAGCCACACAGCTGCAGCAGAAGCCCGTGTTGTAGTCTCTGCACTCTGCGTGCACTGAGCACTGGTGTCTATTGTTGGCGCACGTCTGCTGGGAATCCGTGGTGTAGCTAAACACTGTCGGGAGAGAACAAAGACACATTGTTGGGACTTCACAGCACCCCAGGCCAGGGTCTGGCCAGAGTCCCTGGAGGACTTGAATCTGCCTGGAGCCTGGAGCACCTGGCTCATCACAGAAGATGAGAGCCCACTGCAGACGTCTCCTGACACAGTGATACAGCTGCGCTATTCAGACCGCTGGGGCAAATGGGTCCAACGGGACGAGAAATGACAAGTGTGAGCCACTAAAAACTGCTACCACCCAGGGTCCTCAGGGTCACCGAACCAACATTAGGCGACTGCCATCCAACATCAACCTGACAATGACATCCATACAATGTGGTCAGAAGAATCGGCTTCACATTTGGGGGAAACTTCAAATGTACGTTCTTTTTGGTATTTCCTGCTACTGTGTTAAAATATATATAGCATAAAATGTGCTATTTGAACAACCTTAAATTTTTGTTTAAATGTTAACCCTTCCCTTTTCCCTAGGGAAAGACTGAGACGCTTTGAAAGTCAAAAGCTGATGAGACGTCATCCTTCTGGCCGGCCTCCGTCACACCTGGTCTAAAGGCCTTTCACCCAAGAATCAAAAGTAATCTCTCCCTAGTTTAAATTTCCACCTCCCAGGTTCACTTTATTAGAATCATGAGCTAACCCATTAAATTTAATGATTCAAAGCAAATTAATTTGGAATGAAGTTCAAAAGCACAAGCAAGATGAACTCTTTTGAGGGGATAGCGATCCTGCTTGTAATTGACATTACGAGTAAAGATGAAAGCAAAGTTAAAGAGAGGCAGACTCTATCAGTCCTACACCCTCTGCAGGGAATTTCCAGTGTGGATACGGATGGTGTGTGGCACTGAGAGTGTTCTGCTGAACGCAGAAGCCCCAGCTCTTAACAAGTCTACCATGGCCTGCATATCTGAGGGTGACCAATCAGATAACACCAGGAATGTGCCGCTAGCCACAGAAGGCTGACCTTTCTAATAAATACAGCAGAATGACTGGGATACAAGGGCAGAAAAACAGCTGGCACAGACACATTCTGAATTCAAATCTAGGCATTTTTCAGTATCAAGTAGCATACTGCTATATGTTGTTGGGGCTAATTACAGTTTCATTTAAATGTGGTAGTTTCACAAATAAGATTTTCAGAGATATCTAGAAAGGGTGGAAATAAGATGAGACTCCAAATTCAACATCTACGGGTAAATACACCCAGCACTGGGGGGAGATGGCTCTGCAACCTGCAGCAGAGTGCCACACACTGAGAGACATGGGCTTCACCTCAGAATCCAGGGCACAGTGTGTACTGGGGTTGGGGAGAGGCTGAGGCAGGGGGGTCTATGTCCTCATCTTCCACCAAGTGGCAGCCTCTCTGCTTCTGTGCCTCAGAAGTGACAGCACACACTACCCAGTGAGCAGAGTCATGCCGACTGTCTGGGGTATTTGTTAAGAAAAAGCTCTTCTGACCGCTGCTGTGAGAAATATCAGAACAAGAAACAAGAAATAAAACTGAGCGACTAGTGTGGAATGGACATAGACTTCTTCTCTGGGGGTCTTAGGATAACGTCTTAGCAGAAGCAGTAAAAAGTTTATAGAAAACTTGTTTCAGGTATGGTGCTGCACACCTAAAATCCCAGCTACTCAGGAAGCTGAAGCAGGACTGAAAGTTCAAGGCCAGCCTGGGCAACTTAGCAAGACCCTGCCTCAAAATTTAAAAATAAAAATAAAGCAAAAGGACTAAGGATGTACCAAGTGGTAGAGCACTTATCTTGTGTGTGAGAAGCGCTGTGCTCAATCTCCAGTAAGGGGTGGATTTTAATGGAAACCTCAAGAGGAAAAATTAATGAACGCACTTTAATTTGAACATCTCTTATGAGGCAAGTTAAAGCATGCTCAAACTATTTTTTCTCAAAATGTAGGAAAAGCCCAGTACATAATGGTTGACTAGAAAATATCTATAAAACTGTTTTTCATAGGGGAATCTGATTATTTTCTATTTTTTAATCTTCAGAAATTAGCTCCAAAACTGATGGAACCATGGAGGAAAATTAATCAGCCATTCTAATTCCAAAACCAAGAGGAAATAAATGTCAAAGATAAGCGGCAGAAATAGCCAAAATAACTTCTAAAATGTTTTTTCAGCTGGATGAATACATTTCTGGTCTCAGGAGTCACAAATAATAAACGTTGACTTTCAAAATAATTCTAAAGTATGTTTCTCTTTAAAACAGACAGAATGGAATACAAGGAATCTTGAGAGAGGACACACCCCAGCTCCAGAACCACAGTCCTAATCCCAAAGGATACCAAACTGCTACCAAACCACCAGGCCTACACACCCATGTTCCACAGCTGTGAGCTCTCAGCCCCTGCCTCCCAAAGCTCTCATCCTTACGACCTACCACACAATGCACACAGGTAAGGATACTCCTGCCTGGACAGCCAACTGTCCAAAGACATCACCAGCAAACTGCAATTTAAAAGTCTTACCCACTCCTGTTTCCTCCACTTCATCCACATCTATAACCTGGGTTTGTTGCTGGGGAAACTTCTCCACTGGCAATTGGAAAGATCTGGACCCCTCGGTAGCCTCGTGGCGTGGAGAGAGAGCACGGGGCACATCATATGCCTCAATGTCTTCCCTTTTTGTAATCTTGAAGGGCAAAGATGAGGTTGCTGCATCCTCCAGGCCAAAGTGAGTGGTCATCTGGTCATAATCTTCGACTTCCCCTTCATAGTCTGCTCCATTGTCAGGTCCAAGATTCACCTCCGCCTGAACCACACCTTCAGCAGTGGCCGGACTCCCAATCTCAAATACCCAAACGCCCTGGTGCCCAGAGTTGCTGCTCCTAGGGGAAAGGAAGCCTTCTTGAAAAACTGGCCTGCAGACTCTCTTACCACCAGGAGGAGCCCTCGGGATCCATGTGGATCTGAAATCCACGCCTGTGATCATCTGTCCAACTGCAGCCGGGTGCTAGAGCGCAGGAGGGCAGTGGCCATCTTGCCGGGCTGTCACAGAGCTCAGACGGCACAGGGCAATTTGGTAAACCCGGCATTCATGAGGAGGGCTTCAGGACACTCTCAGGACTTAGGGAATCTATCCTACCTTACGAGCTCAAGGGCCTGCAATCTTTCTCTTTACTGTTCTTTCCCTAGCAGAGTGGACAAAACAGAAAATACACAGGTGGTCTTGCTGCTCAAACCTTTGAAATTTCCGAAGTGATAAAAGTGGGTTTTATATGCCAATGGGCCTACTAGGGTATAGGAGGGCTTGATACCCTCAGATCAGGGGTTGTTGGCTACCGAGGCCTTGTCAAGACCAGATGTTGGAAGGTTCGGGTTTCCCACCTCCAGGGAAGGAAGACCAGCTGGAGACTGAATCAAACACCAGTGACCAATGATTTAACCAATCAATGTACTTAATGAGAGTGCCATAAAAACCCTACATGGTAAGGTTGGAGACCACAGGGAGGTTCTGGCAGGTCAAGAAAGAGGGGTGGGGCATGGGAGTCGGCACCCCGCCTCCATGCCTTGTCTGGCACTTTTCCTTTTGGCTGTCCCAGAGGTGTGTCCTTTCTGGGTTTTGAGAGCCTTTCTAGCAAGTGTCTGAACCTGAGGACAGAGAGAGTTAAGGAGACCTCTGAAATAGAGCCAGGTGTTCAGGACAGGTGGAATCATAGGGCTTTGCCCCATGGCATCTGGGGGTGGGAGCAGTGTGGTTGTGTCTGTACCTGTGGGGTTTACATTAACTTCAGGTAGTTACCGCCAGAATTGAACTGAATCACAAGGCACTCAGCCAGCACCCAGAGAACTGGCCAGTAGTAGGCTGGTGTGAAGGGGAAAATTGCACACATTTGGTGTCAGGAGAGCTGAGAGGAAAAAGTGCAGGTATGATTAATTAAAAGCCCCAACCCCATTGGATAGGTAGATTGGAGATGCCTCAGTTCACCCTTTTGTGTTCAAGGGGTATGCTGTAGTGAAAAGCAAATGAGTTTCAAAATACAAAGGCACTTTATAATTATAAAACACAACAGAATAACCGTATCTCTTCTCTATTTGTTCACCTTTTTTTTTTTGGTACCAGAAATCGAGCTGAGGACCTAGTGCTTCTGAGGCAGGCACAGTGCCACTGAGCTAAATCCCCAGTCCTGCTCACCATTTTTAATGCTCTGTTTTTGTTTGTTTTATTTTGTGCTGCTGATCAAATCCAGTGCCTCATATTTGGTGCAAATGTTCTACCCCTGAGTTTAATCCCCAACTTTCATTTTTAATACTCTTATGCATCAGTGATCAGAAGGTAAGTAAACCAAAATTGCATAAAATGACCAGATTACACAATGAAGTTTTAGGAATTTTCTAAATCCATTATTAAACACAAACTTTTTTTTCTTTTTTTGTCCTTTTGAGGCAGGGTTTTGATATTCAGTTCAGGCTGGCCTTGAACTCACTTTGTAGCCCAGGCCAGCCTCAAACTCACAGCAATCCTCTTGCCTCAGCTTCCTGAGGGCTGGGATTACAGATGTGCGCCACTACAGCCAGCACAAACATTATTAAAAAGTTAAGTTACATAAACTTATAATCAAATAAAAATTTTTTTGGTTTCTTAAGACTAGGTCTCCCTATGTAGTTCAGGCTAGCCTTGAACTCACTATGTAACCCAGGCTGGCATCAAACTCATGAAGATCCTTCGGCCTCAGTATCCCAACTGGTGGGTTTATAGGCATGCACCACCATGCTCAACTAAATTATATATTTTAAAAGGCAGAAAATGTTCAAAAACTCATCTCCTCATAATTTTACTAACATCTGTGTTCTTGAAGTTTTTTAACTGTATTATGTCTTTATGGTGAGAAGAAAAAAAATCTAACAGTGTATCTTTTCATAACTGTGAGTGATATGATATTAACAGCTTGAATTTGATCAAGGCAAGAATATTTACATCACAAAAAAAAAGCAAGGGCTCCTGCCATCTTAAAACTAGATGTCAAGGATTTGCCAGCATACTACTTGGCCAAGGGCAGAGACATTTTAGGCTAGATTTGACAATATGAAATGAGCAGAGACCATTCTTTGTTTCTTAAAGACTGATGGGAAATGAAAAATTTTAATTTAAAAAAGAAACTAGTCTAGGCTTCCCCTCCTTTTGCCAAACCTACAACACAGCCTGAGAACATGGTTGCACTGGGCAATAGTCAAGTTGTAAGATTTCCCTCTGGGCTAGTGTGTAGACAAAACGGTTTTTCTAGCCTCTGGTTTCTTGCAAGAAGATAAACTTGCATGATCTTTACCCCCGTCTTCATATTTACAGAGGTCATGGTAAAAACTGCTTTAAATGAGGATGATATGTTAAAAAAAAGCTTACCTGTTCAGTCTGAGTGTGTTCCCTTACACTCATTAGAGAAACAGTATATCCTAATGTGACATGTTATCTACAAGGCTAGAGATACAACTCAGTGGCAGAGCACTGTGCCTATCATGCAAGAGGCCCTGGGTTCCATCCCCAGCACCACAAAACAAAAACAAACAAAAATCCTAACTCTTAGGATGGTAAGGCAGGACTGCCATGTGATTAAGGTCAGGCTGGGCTCTATAGTGAGTTCCAGTCCAGCCTGAACTACACAGGGAGCCCCTGTCTCACAAAACCAAAAGCCAAAAGAAACCTGCAATACCTAACTAGAAACAAAATTTAAATCCGTGGGATCTTGTTAGGTAATGACCTATAATGCCTATTACATTTTCCTTGGTAAAAGAATAAAATAATAAACCAATTAGAAAGAGCATCTACCAAGGAGTACAGAAAGCATACCTGGTCAAGTTTTCCAGTGACTTGCTGTCATTAGCAAATATATTGTATGCACCGTCACTCTTCAAAAAGAATCCCACTAAACCTTGGCTAAAAGCAACTGTAGCGGGTACTTGGCTCTCATCCTTCTTGGAGAACGTCGTATAGAACTGCAGGCCACCTTTGGGGTATAGGAAAATGGCGTAGGTGCTGGCATCTGAGGAGGCCAGAACAGCCTGAAACGTGTTTCTCTGTGAAGGTGAATTAAAGTCCAGTTACCCAGCAACACATGTATGGATATAAAAATGTGCCATTCCCCAGACTATATATAAAAAGTACCATTGGCAGACGGCAGCATCTTCTGCCGAAAGGATCACATATTCCAGTATACTCTACTACACTACCTCCAAGACTGTCAACATATGGTCTCCCAATTATTTAACGAATATACAAGGTGTGATAAAAAATACGGTGGATATTTAAAATTTTTTTCAATTTATTACAGTTACAAGACATACTGCCAATAATCCTCCTCAAAATCCCCCCGCCCCCGCCGTGTGCACTTTGAACTCAGTTTTCCCATCATTCTTCTGCTTTCTGAAGCAGTTCTGGAAGTCCTCTTTTGTGAGTGTCTTTAGTTGTGCTGTTGTGGCTGCTGCGATGTCCCGAACAATGTCAAAAAACATTTACCTTTAGGGGCCAGGGATTTGGCTCAGTGGTTCTGCTGCCTGCCTGGCAAGCGCAAGGGCCCCGAGTTCGATCCCGGGTACCAAAATAATAATAATTAATAATAATAATAATAAAACATTTCCTTCTGATGGTCCCTTAACTTTTGGGAGGAGTCAGAAGTGGTATGATGCCAGACGTGGTGAATAAATAAGATCGGTGAGGACACACCGTCACGCTTTGTATGATCCTGACTTTCTGTTGTGTTGGACGGCACCTGGCAGCAGCATTTGCTGTGCTTCTGAGCACATCCCCTAAAGACACGCAGGAAAGAAGACTTCTAGAACTGCTCCAGAAAGTGGCAAGAATGATGGGAGGGGTGTGTTTAAAGTAAAGAGGAATACGGGGGAGGTTAACAGCAATGTGGCTTTTACGGCGACATGGTTTTTCTTTAGACACACCGTACCTTTCAATCGCACTGGTGTAATAACTTCTCTATTAGAAGCTAGCTTCCTGCTCCCTGCCACTTGAGGAAACACACGGGCTGGCGGCCAGGTACCAGTCCTATTTTTGCCATGTAGTCATCTTCTCGGGAACTGGCTTTGTTTACATCTGATCACCACAGAAACACACATTTATCTGTCCTTATAGAGCTTTTGAAAGCTGTGTACCTGCCATGACTATTTTACTTTAGATCTCCTGTCTTGATCAATAACAGAAGGATGGTGCCCAGAAGAGTTGCCTATACCAGGAGAGCGGAGCATAAAATCAGCATGTCACACTGTTTGTACTTATGCTTAGGCAATGCTTACCTGGCCTCTCTGGGCAGGGTTCCCGCTGGGTGCTTGGTAGGGGGCCACCGAGTCCCAGGTGACCACCACCACACTGATGGGCTGGAAAGAGACTTCTGGGAAGCCCCTCTGGACATACTGTGCTGCCAGCTGAGTGGCTGAGGGAGACGGGTCTTCTCGATAATACACTTTCCCAAGGCCATCAGTCGTGTCCAAGTCTGCCAGGAAAGGTGCCACTGCACCGAAGGTGGGCGGGAAGAGCCCGGGATGAGATTCTTTGGCAGGAGGCTTGCTCATGGCAATGATACCATTTGTGGTGACCTGTACGAAACCAAGTGTGGTTAAAGGGAGTGCAGAAAGTGCTTCGTCCTCCAAGGGGTGAGCTGTCACAGGGACCCACACTACTAGTTGTGACTGCCGTGTGCCAGGCGAGGAAGCTTGGCCAGGTGTCTCAGGCTGCAAGACTTTTATGTTTCCTCCTGATCCCACGTGAAATGACAGGCATAAAGCGCTTTGATGCCGAGCATGACCCTAATGTACAGCACTGTTTAAATCTTACTGATTCTCCCCACAGATGGAGCAAGTACAAATTATGTGTGGACATCCATGAGTAGGACCCCGGGCCCTGCCTTCAAGGGACTGGCAATCGAGAAGGTGAAGGGTGACACAAACAGATAAGGGCACAATAATGTGCCCAGAAGTAAATCCACATTGGGCATCACAGTCTCGCCAATTAGTGGGACAGATTTAGTTAGAATGATGGCTAACATGTAGGTACTGTTTATCACGGTCCAGGCATCTGACTAGCATCCAATCTTCTGAAGGACCCCAGAAGGCCAGGTACTACTAAAATTTATATTTTTCTGGTAGGGAAAATTAGCTAACTTAATCAGTTTGTCCAAAGTCACCAAGTGAGAGCTGGGCATGGTGATGCACACCTATAATCCCAGCACTCAGAAGGCTGTGGCAGGATGACTGATGCAAGTTCTAGGCCAGCCTGGGCTACATAGGGAGACCCCGTCTCAAAAAACAAAACACAAACAAACAAACAAAACCCACAAAATCACAAAGTAATTAGTGGATTCAAACACAGAGAACCCAACTCTGAAGCTGGTCATCTCAATCAGTGCATGCACAGGTTTCTTGAGATCATCTCTGCCTTCGCATGGGACATCACCAATTTTCTCACTCTGCTAAAACCCACACTGTTTGGAAAACAAGAAACAGGCCACTGAGGTCCCACGGCAAACAGCCCCTTGGTAGTGTGGGTCATCTGGACCTGCTGCAAAACCACACCAGTGAAGTTAAATATCCCAGCACTCTGGAGGCTGAGGAAGGAGGGTTGCCATGAGTTCAAAGCCAGCCTGGTTTACACAGTATGTATAAGGCCAACATGAATAACAAGAACGAACAGCAAGACCCCATCTCAAGAAGAATCTGTGACTGGGTACAGTGGCACAGGCCTATAATCCCAGCTGCTTGAGAGACAACTGCTTGAGGATCATGAGTTGTAGCCCAGTTTAGTTAACAGGAGACCTTATCTCAAAAACACACAAAAAAAATTGTTTAAATTTTCTAATCATATGGGAAGGATTTCCCAAACATCCCCTTATTTTACTCTTTAAAGAGGCTGTAGGTTGGAAACCTAGCTGTTATAGAGCTGCTCAGCAGCTCAGGCTGCTTGGGGCTTGTTCGCCTACCACAGCCTCACCTTATAATCCCGGCGGACAGGGGTTGGCGAGGAGCCGACAGAGTAAAATATACCTGCTCAGAAGCTGGTGACCGAGTTCAGAATGGTGGAGCCCCTTCAAGCCCTGGCAGGGAAAGGAACCAGCGCTTTGGGAGTTAACTGTGGGTTTATGAAAACCCTCTCTTTTTTGCAAACTTCATGGGCTGTTAACTCCTCCCATGGCATATTTTCCAGGATCAGCTGGCCAGTAAGACTTATCTGAAATCCACTGCCAGGTGGCAAGGAAGGGAGTCAGGCAAGCCGCCAGACCCCAGCAGACAACCCAGCCAGCTGCGGGGGCGCGAGAACCGGCTCCGGCTCCAGCTGCCAGAAGTTGTCAGAAACCAGCTGCTGAGGGAAGCAGTCACACGGAGGAGGCCACGCACAGACAACTCAGACTCAAAGAGCCGTGTCCCAGTGAAATGTATATCAGTTCAACAATTCTGAAAACACTGCCAGTATCTTTTATTAATTGGAATCTGGGCAGAGGAATGTTTCCATTTTCACCCAAAACGTATGCCTTAGAAATAGGGTTTTATGCAAGCATCATGAAACAGTGCAAATGATTAGATGGACAAAGGTCATTTCATCCTCATTAGTATTATTATTGGAAAATTACTTTTCAGTCAATGGGCTGCACCCTGAACTCCGTCACTGAGATTGAAGAAAGATGACTTCGCAAAGAAATGGAATATGCAGAACGGCTAGGAGTTTGATTGGATTTTTTCCATTGCTGGGGAGTGAATATTAGAATGTTCCCTCATCCATATTTTTCACTGGATCTGTTGGTATGCAACTTCTGGCTCTTCCCCAAAGTCAAAATGACCGTGAAAGGTAAAGTAAGAGTTCTGAATTTGTTTAGGACATCGAGGCAGCCAGGACAACACAACTTCTAGAACTGCTTCAGAAAGTTACAAGGATGACAGAGGGATAAGTGTGTTGTTCAAAGCAAGGGTGGATATTTTGAGAGGGAATCATAGCAATGTGTCTCTTACTGTAACACATTTTTAAAAATATAAGCATTCACCATATCGGTCCATCACAGTTCCCATAGAGCCAACACAGGAGGCCTGTGCACCCGGACTGTTTTGGATGTGATGCCTGGGGATGAGGTCAGGTGGGAATGACAGGAGAGAGCCAGAACTGTGCACCTGCAGTCCTCCCCCTACCCCATTAGTAACTAGGGTTACCATGGCGCAGAGTGTGGGAAATAGGAAGCCACACTGTCAGTGTGATGGCAGATCTCAGTGTTCAGGAAATGCAGGAGGCAGAAGAACATTCTAAATGACACCATGGGGACGTGATCTACAAAATCCAGAATATAGGACACCTAAAGGACAACTACCAAGTTTCTTTCTTTTTTTTTTCCCCAAGCTTCTTTAATAATGAAACTGCAAGGGGAAAATAAACAGTGAGGGGAGCCTATAGATTTAAAAAATCTTAAATAGAAGGCTGGAGATATTATGTAGCTCAGTGGCAGAGCCCAGGGTCATGTTCCCAATACAACACACACACACACAGCCCTCAAGAGATCTGCCAAATTCTATTTAATTGGGCTTTAATTGGACCCTGACTAAAATCAATGAAAAAGCAAAATAAAACTTTTTATGAAGCTATTTGAGTATTATATTGAGGAATCATTATTTTTAGATGGGATCGTGATTTTGCTCTTTTTAAAAAGTACTGTGGGGCCAGAAATTTGGCTCAGTGGTTCCGCAGCCTGCCTTGCAAGTGCAAGGGCCGGAGTTCATCCCCTGGAGCAAGAAACAAAAAAGTATTGTAAAAGGGATGGGGATTTAGTTCAGTGGCACCATGCCTGCCTTGCAAGTGCAAGGTACTGAGTTCAATCCCCCATATCGCTAAAAAAAAAAAAAAAAGTATTTTGAGATATACTCTGAAATATTTACAGTGAAACAAAATATTTGAGATTTGCTTTAAAATAATAGTTTGCTGGGCTGGGGATTTAGCTCAGTGGTTCTGCTGCCTGCCTGCCAGTGTCCCCCCTTCAAAAAAAATCGTTTGCTGAGCATGGTGGTATATGCCTGTAATCCTAGCACTTGGGAGGGCTGAGGCAGGACAGGCAGTCTGGGCTACATAGTGAGTTCAAGGTCAGCCTGAACTTCCCATGAGACCATCTCAAAAAAACAAAAACAAACAAACAAACAAAAAAAAAAACAATTTGGGGTAGGGGAAAAGTTGAAAAGATGGGGCTGTAAATTAAATAAGATTGGTCACAAGTTGATACCTATTGGAGTCAGGTAATGAGTACACAGAATTGATTTTATGATTCTATTTTGGGATATGTTTGAAGATGTTTCATAATAAAAGTTTGATATTTTAAAAAAGACAATGAACACGATTACCTAACATTTAGCAAAGAAGAGCAGGTGGCTTTAGTAGATCAGACCACACCAGTGCTCTCAGAATGGGTCTATGGTTTACTGTCTTTGATTTGTTTTGCTTTTGCAACTATTTTGAGGTATGATTGACAAATAAAAGTGTATAAATTTCGGTGGACCTCATAATAATTTGATATATGTAATAAAGAGTGAAACAATTGCCACAATCAAGTTATGAGCAAAGTTAACAGACATATGGAACATACAGACCACGCACAGACATGTAGGCCAACGAAACAGACTGTTGAGCCCAGAAATAGATCTATAAGAATACAGGGCCAACCGATATTTGACAAGGATGCCAGGAACACACAACGGGGAAGGTTGGGAAATCTCTTCAATATACAGCGGTGGGAAGATACAGATATCCCCATACGAAAGAAGAAAAATGCACCTCTGATGACAGCAGTCACAAAAATTAACTCAGAGTAGATGAAAGACTTAAATGTAGACCTGAAGCAATAAAATCTCAGGAAACAAACAAACAAACAAACAAAACACAAAAAACAAGGAAAAAGTTCCTCGACATTGGTCCTGATGGGGGTTGACATCAAAAGTACAAGCATCAGAAGCAAAACCGAGGGAGACCACCGCAGCCTAGCATTCCTTCCTTTCCTGGGGTTCCCCCCATTCCTCTCCCGGGGACTCCGGAGTAGTATTGGGCAGCCAGTGAACATGCAGAAGGTGCTGGCAAAGGCAGACTTAGCAATGAGAGGTAATGAAAAGTTCCAAGGCTTCGGGTCAGTCCCACAGTGCCCTGGGTCCGGAAAGAAAGAAACAATGATAAACCAGAGCATAAACCACACAGCATCACCAGGTAATTCTGCTTATATCTGTGCTGGTTAAAAACTTACATGGGTCATACAGGTACCAACTCCCCACAGTGAATGTAATCATTACAGGCTGCAAACACGTACTGAAAACTTCTTTTAATTACACGGATTATGGGACGAGAGTATAGTTTGGTAAGGGAAGTAGAAGGCTGGAGTAGAAATTTATATATTAGAAAAAAAAAAACAGTTTCGACTGCTTACAGCTCTCCAGACTCACCATGGTGGTCTGCCAACCCCACACCCAGGACTTTTTGCATCGATGGTCTCCTACTCCTCGGAAACCCTTTCTCAGCTGCATCCTTGGCAAAGTCCCCGTCCCCCACCGCAGATGGGGGGACTCAAACCCAGGGGTGTTCTACCAGTTCCGAGCTACAGTCCCCAGCCCTTTTTATTTTGCATTTTTCGATAGGATCTCTTAAGTCACTAAATTGCGCAGGAGGACTTGAATTTGTGGTCCTCCTGCCTGTGCTGGATAACAAGTATGTGCACAGATCTTTCCTCCTCATGAGGGTTCCTGACTTCCCAAGGAGAGCTCACCACTTCCTTCTTTCTATCCACGCCCCTCTCTCTCTCCTTTGCAATTAGCACCTCAGAACCCTGACTCGGATGCCCTAACTCCTACTGGCCCCGTGCGTGGCTTGCCGTAGATCACACTGCAAAATCCTTCTGGGCTGAACATGTTCTTGAGAAAGCTCATCTGATGAATCATTGAGAAATAATAATTTCAATGTTATTATTGTCTTGTGTTTAGACAGGGTCTCGCTGTGTAAGTTCAGGCTGGCCTTGATCTTTCAAAGCCTCCTGCCTCAGCCTCCTGTGTGCTGGGATTACAGGCGTAGACCACCACACCTGGCTATTTTAAGGTGACTAAAACTAACCAATATGCCGAAGCGAGATTCTCAGTGACTCTGCATTAAGGAGTAAAAAAACTTACTCATTGAAAAGCACTTGCTGCATGTCGACCAGTGCAGATACAGCTCTGAAATTTTACTTCCAATTTCAGTTCACAATGGGGAAAAGTTCCCTTAGCAAAGCTCCCTGCGTTTCTAGCACGACTTAAAGCCCCTTTAGTCCACCCACTCACCCTAAAGCACAAAGCAAACAAAAAACGTCTTTTCATCAGTTGCCCTGGGGCAGAACATGTCAATTACATCACAAAGACCCTGTAGAGAAAATGTCCAGGCCCTACAGAGTTAACAGCTGGAACCACTTACTTACAATTGTTTCAGGCCAAGAGACCAGAAGGGGATGGACAGAACAACTAACTTCAGAATGGAAGGGTGTTTCATGTTTTTTAAAAAGTACTTCCTCTCTCATTTCCCTCTTAAATGTAAATTTATAACAGCAGGAGACACAGGAGAAAACCTAAATGCCAATCCTGAGTACCTGGAAAAGACATTTGATTTTTTTATAGTCACACCGCACAGAAGAAGTCAAGGACAGCCATCCTTTCAGCCTAAAAGAGCTCGGTAGCCAGCAGTCCTTAGGGCATAAGGCAGCCTGGAAAGCCTGCTCCAAAACCCATACAGTCAGAGAACTCTGGCCTAGGCAGAAGACGATGGGGTGGCTTTAGAAATGCAAAAGCTGTGCGGAGAAGACAATGCAACTTGTGGGAAAGCAAACTCCCTGCGGGGCAGGCAGTGGGAACTAAAGACAAAATAATTTACAATGGAAAAGGCAAAGCAAGGAACAGGGAGAGAGTGCGTGCTGAGTTCCAGGTCCTTTACTACAGCCGTCTGCAGTTTTAAAGTTTCATTCGAAAG